GATATGGTTGGCTATGTCTACCGGTAGAGGCAATGTAATTATATGTGAAGCAACAATTCCCTTATCTATAAGGAACACTTGCTGCAGTTAACTGCATTTCAGTGGCTGGCAGATGAAATAAAGAATTAAAATCTCAAGCTAGTTTCTCAGGTTGTTTTTTCTTTCCCCTAGTCATTTTAAAATGTTTTAGCCTAGAGGAAACGGTAGCCAGAAAAGAGCAGAAAAGAGATGGTATTTAAAGCCTTTGCAAGACGCACAAAGCAGATGAGACTGTCTGCCTCCCTGCCCTGATTCCTCTGCATGGTGATTCCTCTGAGGGTCCCAATCCTTCCGACCTTGTGAGAATGTCCAGAGTGAAGGTCATGACTGGTAACTTGAAACATTAAAATCAAAATCAATAGATCATGGTGGCTTTGATCGCAATCTAATATCTAAAGGGGAGGGATATCTATCCGTTACCTACGCTCTTTGCAGAGGATGGGCCTAAGTCTAGCTCTGGGGTGTGAGTATCTATCATTCACTGCTTAGTGAACCAGGGAGCAGGGCTGAGAGAAACAGAAACAGATGGCAGTGGAGGTAATTGAGATACCAGGTAGCTCGCAGACATCCTGGTAGGCTGCATAGCAGCACTAGTGTGAATGCAAGAGAAATATCCCACACAACTTCACTGGATGTGCTAGCGGAGTCTGACTGAACAGCCTGCTCAGAATTCCTACAGCAGGGGCTGGGGTACAGAAGGTTTGAGCTCATGTCAGAGAATGGGGCAACAGATTTCCCCAACTATAAGGGCTCATCGTAGAGTAAAAGGCTCAGGTTTTAATAAAATATTTGAAAATTCTGTATTGAATTTTGGCATGAGAGGGTATTAGTATTGGAGACAAGAGATTTTTGGTATTGATAGATAAGTCACCTCTTAATTAGCTCACACTGTTTTGCAAGGGAGACATATTTTTTGTGGTATCGGTGGTGGTTGTAAGCACTGAAAATGCCTCGGACCTCAGAGATGGAGAGCTGGGGACAGTAGGTGCAGATCTGTGGAGTGAGGCTTCACATCCTGCCTCTGTCACTTACTAATAATGTGACCCTGGGCAAGTACCTCAGCATGCCCATGCCTCATTTTGTTCATCTGTAAAATGGGCCTAATAATATCACCTCATTCAGCATTTGGTTCAGGATCTAATACATATGCAGTACCTAATAAATAGTAGCAATATCATTAATAAATAAATGTGCACAGTATAGCAGTTTTGCATATCAAGGGTTGAGAACATTCGTGGGTGTCACTTCTCACCGATGCTGAATGGCCATGGTGAGTGTTTCTCAGTGTTCTCATGTTCCGTAGAGCAGGAAAATCAATGCTACATCACTAGCCCTTCCCTCTTGGTTCCTGTATATATAAAATCCATGCAGTTCATCTAAATAAAAGTTAACTCAGAACGTTTCCTGGAAACACTTTCTGATTACATCATTAGACTGATTCAAAGAAAGTGAGGTGCAGAGACTTGCTACACACATATGAATCACCTGCTAAAAACAGTGGTGCCTCCTGAATGTATTAAGGGCAAAATTTACTTATAAAATTTCGATTCCTTTATAGCTTAACCCAGTGGTTGGCAAACCACGGCTCGAGAGCCTTATGCGGCTCTTTGGCCCCTTGAGTGTTCTGACCCAGGCCGAAAACCGACTTCTGCGCATGAGCCACGAAGTTTCAATCGCACTGTACGTACATGCCTACACATGGTATTTTGTGGAAGAGCCACACTCAAGGGACCAAAGAGCCACGTGTTGCTCACGAGCCGTGGTTTGCTGACCGCTGGCTTAACCACTCATATCTTTGATTATAGACTATAATTGCCTGGTATGTTAAAGAATCTCTCATATGTATAGAGGAAACATCAATTACATATATTTTATTCTACTATAGGATGACCATGCCAGAAACCCACATATAAATGGCTCAATATGAATTCACAATTGAAACCAACAAAAGATGCAAACTGATTCTAATTCATTTTAATATTAAATGTCAGCACTTTTTGAGCTATTTTATAATTAATTTCAAAATAGATGAGGCAGTAACATCAAGGTTTAGCTAATTATGTTTAAATTAAATATAAGCATTTAAAATAACCATTATAATTAAATACAAGACTCAGGCAACTAATCATTAAAAGTAGAATTGTTGAGATTTATCATTCTGAAATCCCTTGTATTGCCTTTCTAATGCGTTTTTGCCTCTAAAAATGAGAGACAAAAGGTATCTCGCCGAAGTCATCCTTAGTAAAAGGTCAGGGTTGTCAATTTGATATTGAATCAGTGCAAAGAATCTGGTTTACTACAGTCTCCTGGATACAAAACTTCAGTTACTATTGCTAGACCATGTTCAACTTGACTTACATCTTAGTTCTATAAACATCTTAGAATCATCCTAACGATTATAAAATATTTATTACTGTCAAAGAAAATGGACATATTTAAAAAAAACATTATTATAAAGGAGTCTCTGAGAAAGAAAAATCTAATTTTATTATTTAATTTTTTAAGTTAAATAATTTATTACAACTTTAATACCATCTCACACCTGTCACAATGGTTATCATCAACAAATCAGCCAAGGACAAGTACTGGTGAGGATGTGGAGAAAAAGGAACCCTCGTGCACTGCTGGTAGGAATGCAGACTGGTGCAACCACTGTGGAGAACAGTATGGAGTTTCATCAAAAAACTGAAAATGGAACTCCCATTTGACCCAGTGGTCCCACTCCTAAGAATATATCCCAAGAAACTAGAAACACCAAACAGAAAGGATATATGCACCCCTATGTTCATAGCAACACAATTTACCATAGCTAAAATCTGGAAACAGCCTAAGTGCCCATCAGCAGATGAGTGGATTACAAAATTGTGGTACAGCATGGATGGAACTGGAGAACATTATGCTAGGTGAAATAATTCAGAGAAAGATAAATATCACATGATATCATTCATTTGTGGAATATACTGAACAACATAAACTGATAAACAAAAACAGATCTCCAGAGACAGTGAAGCATTGATCAGACCGTCAAACCTCAGAGGAAAGGTAGAGGAGAATGGGGGTAAGGGAGAGATATCAGCCAAAGGACTTGTATGCATGCATATAAGCCTAACCAATGGACACAGAAACCAGAGGGTGAGGGAATAAATGGGAGGGGGGGGTCAGTAATCAAGGGGGGGTTAGGACACATATGTAATACCTTAATCAATAAAAAAAGAAAAAGAAAAATGTTTTAAAGAATAATGAGGAATACAACTGAATAGATTCATTTTATAAATTATATATATTCCAAACTTTATGTTTATAAGAACATACAAGTATATTGATATAATTAAATTTGTATAAATGTTTGTATGTATTTAGAAAATAACCATTAGCTAGTTCTTATTCTGGAATGTTATTCATTTAGCATAAACCCTGACACATGGCAGGTGCTTAATCAATGTTTGCAAATTTAAAATATATATATATATTTCCTATTATCTAGCCTTTTCTGTGGTCTAGAATTAGTCCAAATGTTAAGAGTCTAAAAGTGAGCAGTGCCTTTCTGGGCGGTAGAGGGTGATTTAAAGGCAAGTTAGCTTGTTTGGCTCCTTGTACTAACCACCTGCAATTAGTGATTGTCACATTGTCTGTGTTGTAAAACTGAACTAATTGAAGGTGCTCCCCTTAGGGGATGAATTCTACAGTGTAATAAATGTGGAGTGCCCTCTTGAGTTTAGCGTTTTAATTATTCATAATTATAATGATTTCTGTTTGTTTGAGCACTTTAGAGATAATTCTAGTTTATCACAAAACTCAAAAGCAGAGTAGTTGAGGCTTCCCTTTATTTTATGTTGAGGTCACCGGGCCTATGAACATGCCGGACATTCTCGGGAGCAATGGAGCCAGGTTACAGGCTGGCACCGCTGATGTCCTGACTTAAAGGGAGGCACTTATGTCTACTCGCTCTCTGATTCCCCTAGAAGGTTTTGGACAATGTTGGGATTGTGAGGAGAAGAGCTGACAAGGATTCAAGTGGAAGAACTGGAAATAGTATAATGCAGTATGAATCAGAGAGGAGAACAATAGATTTGATAGCTGGTTATTAACCAAGTGTATAAGTTTTTAAGGTCTTTCCTCTTCTTAAGAGTGTGTGTGTGTGTGTGTGTGTGTTTGCTTTGCACCCTAAATATATTTGCACACAAGAGACCCAAGTAAAATATGGGTATTCGTAGGTATTCTGGCCATTTTGGACTAGAATAATTTTTATGTCTACTATATTCAAATATATACTAGTGATAACAATATATTGGGATTGGGCTCCTACCATCTACTCATATACGTTCTTAATAACAGCCTGAAATAATGAAATCCTACTTTTAAAAAAAGTTTGGCATTGCAAATTTGTTTCTTTGCAATTTGTCTCATTTTCCCCATCTTCTTCTATCCATCTACCCAACACTTTAATTTTAGAGCCAAATATGTACTTTGCAGCTAGAGAATTACTCAAGTCTTCTGATAATCTATTCAATTTAGGAAACAGCAGCAATTGTTTAATATATTCAAGTAGTAGCAAAGGGGGAAGAATGATTGATATGGGTAATATCATCTTATAAAAAGGTCCGTCTGCAGGCACGCGATATTAGCAATTTTAAGGAGAGTACATTTAACCACTCTCGCCTAAAAAGCTCAGCAGAACCAAGGTCCTGCTACAAGAACATTATCTGAAAGTACGTATGAGTGTGTCTCTGATGAAAGGGAATGAACAATTACATAATCCAGGGTTAGGCTCAAATGTGAGCTCTGCTCTCATCAGCAAATTGTTTACTAAAGAGACTGGAAGTACCATTTAAAAAAAAGAAATGTTCTGATCATCCACAATATCTCGCTCCTTCTCAAACATTATTTTTAACCAACGCTACTAAGAAGGGGGGGGGGGGGAACTAATTGGAAACTCACGTTGTCTCTGCCTCTACCCTCAGGTGCTGACAAGCAGGGAGCAAGCCCCAAAGACAGGCCGTAGGGAAGGAGAGGCCATGGAATATCCACCAACCAGATAATCATCGCTGGATCAACCGGGACGTGTCTGAATGTAGGTATGTGCACTGAAGACTTCTGTGTGCGTCTGCGTGTAACACACCCCCGTCCCATCAGCCTCTTGAAAGCACTACTTGGCGGCCTGGTGTATGTGTGCACAAGGCCATACAGAAACCACAGGAAGACCTCTTTATTCTCTTTGGCTTTTAAATCGTTCCACAAAGTGACTTACACTGCTTCCCGCTCTCCGGCCTCAGTGTTCCCACGTGGAAACCTTCCTCCCACGGACACTGCACAGAGTCTGAGTCCTGGCTCTCCCCACGCTCTGACCATGTGAAATAAGTCCCAACTCCTCTCAGCTGGTTTTAGTTCTGGTTTCCCGCCAAGACCTAAGTCAAATTCCACCTCCCCTGCAAATTCTGGATGCTTTCTCCATCCCCAATATTTGCTTTTGTCCAAACTTCTATAGCATGTGCAATTACAGCTTTTCTCTGGCATTTGACAGCTGGATCCACGTACTGCTTTTTTTCTCCTTGTGCATATGTCCTGTTTCTTTAGTGCTCCTGTTTATTTCTGGAAAGGCAGGATCTGCCACATTTTTTTATTTTTTATTGCTTAAAGTATTACCAAGAGTAGTACATATGTGTCCTTTTTTTTCCCCATTGACCTTCCCCCGGCATCCCCTACCCCCCAGTATCTTGCGTCCATTGGTTATGCTTATATGCATGCATACAAGTCCTTCAGTTGATCTCTTACCTCCCTCACACACACCCCAACCCTTCCCAGCCTTCCCGCTGTAGCCTGACAGTCTGTTCGGTGCTGCTCTGCCAGGGCAGCAGAAATGGGCGTGCGATGAGCTGTGATGATGAAGTGAGGCAACAGCGGGCAGGGGTGAAGAACACAGGACCTGAAGCCACACTGCCTCAGTCTGAGTTCCCACTCAGCCAGTTACTAGCTGGGTGCTCTGGTCAAAGTTGCTTGGAAAAAAAAACTTCCTGTGCTTTGTCTACATCTTTAAAGTAGGAACAGTCATTCTACCCATCTCCTTGAGTTGTTGTAAAGTTCAAAGGAGCCAACAAATTTTAAAAGGCTTGGCATATCTAATACATAAAAAGCACTCAAAAAATCATTACCTAGTTACTACTGTAGACACAATAATATTCCATCTCAGTTTTCTCGTAATGCTATAAAATACAGTTATCACCATTCTACAAACAGGAGCCCTGTGGCCCTGAGAGGTAGTGAATATTACTAGCAAGTGAATAAAATGTATTCACTTGCCATCAAAGAATAAACTACAAAATTTATAAACTTTACAATCATTTTATTCTATTTTTAATTATTTTGGAGAATTTACCAAGAACTCTGTTAAACTTGGCAGACTAGCCTTCTTGGAATCTCTTCATCTTCTAGGAAATCATCAAGTCTTGTTCTTGTCACTGCCAAAATTCCTTGGCCGCTGCTGCTTCATTAGTGCATCTGTAGCACCGAGCACTATGCTGGGATGTAGTAGATGATTGATAAATCCTTGGTTAAATTAAATTTTGTCGCCCTGCTGATACATTAAGTATACTCTGCCCTCCTGGCCCACCGCTTAATTATAGAGTAGCTTTAGAAATCCTCTATGGACCTACAGAAACTACCTTCAGGTAAAATATTTCCATGAGAAGGGATTGGAAGAACTAACATTGTTGAATGCTTATCTTATTGTAGGTTTGTTGGGGTGTCTTTTTTTACTTTGTAAATATTATTTAATTTAATCTTCAAAATACCCTGTGAAGTAGGGATCGTTATCCCCCATTTACCAACCAAAAAGCTAAAATTCAAATAATTTAACCAACATATTTAAAAATCACACTAGTGGGAAAGAATTTCCTATCTAAATCTAACCCAAAGACGAAGCAATGATGAGGCAGTAATGGGGTAAAGTGAGGCTCAGAGTCAGTCATGAGGCAGATCCTCTTGACACAATTTCAGGTGCGCATGTGCCTCCTTATGCCTCAGTTTCCTCAGTTATTTTGAGTATCAAAACATTTTATTTGTAAATGGCTTCTAAATTATCATTGATACTATAGACATAAGCCATCATTATGGACCTGGGGAACATAAACACTGAAACAGGTAAGAAGTCCCCAAAAGGTTTGAATTCCCTAGCAGGTGATGGGAGGAAGGTGGAAGCAATGAAAGGAAGTGAAGATCAAAGACAAAGAAAAGCCATGTCTGTGGAAGCGTCTGGGGGCAGATCTAGAAGAAATTACTCTAGCACCAGTGCTGATTCAAGGCTGTTCAGTTGTCAGTTGTCCTTATACTATGTTAGATCATGTTTTAAAATGTAACTATAATTGCCAGAATCACTAAATCAAACACTAGATATATAGGACAAAACATTGGAAATCAGGACTGTTGTATATGGAGCCAAGTACCTAGTATAAGGGATGGTTGTATGGCAAGCTACTCATCTGAAGGATTAAGAGTAATATTATTGCTGAAACCAGTTTGGCACAGTGGATAGAGTGTCAGCCTGTGGACTGAAGGGTCCTGGGTTTGATTCCGGTCAAGGGCATGTACTTTGGTTGTGGGCACATCCCCAGTGGGGGTGGAGCAAGAGGCAGCTGATCGATGGTTCTCTCTCATCGAGGTTTCTAACTCTCTATCCCTCTCTCTTCCTCTCTGTAGAAAAACAATAAAATATATATATATTTAAAGAGTAATATTATCCTTAAATACATGGTTCTAAAACTACATGTGTAGCATAGGTGGGCTGAAAGAGGTTAATGGGGAGAAAGGGAGACATATGGAATACTTTTAACAATAAAGGTATTTTAAAAACAAAGCTCAAAAAATAAAATAAAACAAACTACATGTGTACCTCACAGAGTACCTGAAACCCCTAAGGGCCTCAGTGGGATCCAGGCTGCTGGATCTTGAAACAATTTCTTCAAAAGTTTTCATAGAAATGAATAGCATTTGATTTGTTGCTGGTGTCTTGTTTTGAATGGAAGTAGATGTATTTTATGAGTTAATAAACTATGGCACACATTTAGTTAATAAACTAAATAACCATATGCCTCACTTATTACGATAGTAAAAACAGTTCAGTGTTATAAAACTGTAAAGTGCTTTCCATTTCTTAGCATTTAATTACATCCCTACTGAGTTTATAGAATAATGAATCTCACCATATGACCTGTTGCATGTATTTAGATTTAAGGAAGTTATCTATATAAGCCTGAGCAACCATTACGGCAGGACAACCAGAATGACCAGTCACTATGATGTACACTGACCCCCAGGGGGCAGATCCTCAATGTAAGAGCTGACTCTGGTGGTCAGTGCACTTCCACAGTTGGAGTACTGCTCAGCCAGAAGCCAGGCTCACGGCTGGTGAGCACAGTGGCAATGGCGAGAGCCTCTCCTGCCTCCACTGCAGCACTAAGGAGCAGCGAGCCAAGTGGTAAGGAGTGAGCAGGCAGGTGGTAAGGAGCAAGTCGTCTGGACTGTGAGAGGGCACAGGCTGGGCTGAGGGATCCCTGCCCCAGTGTGTGAATTTTATGCACTGGGCCTCTAGTTTACTATAAGAATATACCCATATTCTTTCTTTTCCTTTGTTTACATGATAAATTCCAGAAACCATCTACTGGATTTTTTTAAATTGTATTTTAACTTAACTGAGAACAGGCAACCTAGTTGATATTTTAAATAGTACTGAAGAAATCAAAGAGAAATTAAGAAACCACTTTTATAAGTGTCCTTTGTCAAAGCTTGCCTAAAGGAAGCCTCCACTTCCAAGATCTATGGCTGAGATGGAGAATCTATGATCAATTGCTCAATTGCATCTGACCAATTTTAACTGTCAAGTATTTTTGAAAAATATAGCCTATGACAATAACACACTTAACTTATTATAATAGCCTCTTTAATATTTTAATTTTATCATTATTGTTAATTATTAAGCACCTTGATGGTGGAATGGCTTGTAAGGATAATGACTGGAGTAATGGAGCAAGAAATGGCTAATTTGAGGGATATTTTTAGAGTGTATTCCTTATTTATATATATAAAAGCCAAGCAACCGCAACTGGTTGCTATGACATATACTGTGGCAGCCAATGGGTCTGATTGGCCCCAATCAGCCCTCCCAGCATCTCATGGCCCCTCCCCACAGCTGGCCCCACCACTGACCCCCTCCCCTCCCCCCACCCCGATCAGGGGTGGGCCAGGAAGCCAACTGTCTGCATCTCCCCACCCCCACTGGCCCAGCCCGGATTGGCCCCCCAAAATCCCCACTCCGCACTGGCCTGGCCAGTTCAATGGAGTGGCTGGCCAGACCCCACCCATGCATGAATTCATGTACTGGACCTCTAGTAAATTATAAGTCACTATACAAATATTTATAAAAATAATTTTTACAATACCAAATTATGTTTTTGGTTGTTGTTTTTTTGCAAAGTAGAGAAATATAATAGAGAAAATTTTTCCTACTTCTATTACTTAAAAAATATTTGTGAACATGGGTTCTTCAATATATAGCAGGATGGTACCTGTCCAGGAGAAGACTCATCCTATATAATAAAAGCCTAATATGCAAATTGTCCCTGAGGGTGGTGGTTTGACTGGGAGACTGGGAGTTTGACCGATTGCTATGACATGCGCTGACCAGAGGACAGAGCGAAACATGGCAGGTATCGGCAATGCAGTGCTGGCAGTGGGCAGCAGTGGAGGCACTGCCAGCCCTGATGGGCCCCAACATGAGCAGGACCTTGGAGGATGGTGGAGCAGGTGAGCAGGCAGTGCCAGGCCAACATAGGTAAAAGCAGGGGCCTGATTGCCCCCGCCAATTGCCCCACAGATGGAGACCAGCATCAGGGGGCAGGGCCACTGCCCAGCTCCCAGGGGCTGAGGGAACCAGGCGGAGGCCTGATGGCCCTGCCAATCGCCCTGCAGACAGCAACCAGCAATGGCAGGAGGGGATGGAGCCACTGCCCTGCTCCCAGGCACTGAGGGAGAAAGGGAAAATAGCAATATTAAAATATTTCTTCTAAATATTTTTCTTTCAATG